TTCTCTCTCTCTCTCTCTCTCTCTCTCTCTCTCTCTCTCTCTCTCTCTCTCTCTCTTTTAATATTCTTTTTCCTACTCATCGTTTTGTTTTCTTCGATCCAATTTTTTCCAGTCACGGATAAAAGTGTTCCGCTATTGTGTTGCGCACATACATATGAAGATTCGTTTATATAATTCTGTTTTATTCATTTTTTTTCTTTTTCTTTTTTTTTTTCTTTTTTTTCGTCTAAAATTCTTCTGCGTCTGTCTCACTAATACACGTGCAGCTGATCGGCGAATTTTCGCGCACGGTTACACGATTCATCCCGTGGCTAGAGTAAACTATAATTCGGAGGTCAGTCGTCTAACGCTATCGAGCTATCGAAATTCGGTCGTGGTGCCATAGAGACGCGCGTTATATTATTATATATCTGTATATATACATATGTATCATACGAATACGTTAGAATCTAGGAGTTCTGATTAAAAGGTCCAAGGAAGGTCCAATACGCGACAATCATGATTATGATCGTTCTAATTTCCACGAATATTCACATTTTATGGCACATTTCTCTTTTTCTTTTTCTTTCTTCTCTCTTTTGTGTGTTTCTTTCGATTTATAAATTCCACCGTTATATTTTTATAATTCAACCAAAATTTTATATCTCACATACCAATTTCGATAATTGCAACAAACAATCTAATGGAGATCCATCATTTTCCAAAGAGTACAAGTAGAATAGGCGCCATTATGCGCGTACGAGATTTACGTTAGACCTTTTAAACGAAGTTATTTTTGGCTATGAACAGTCGACATCACTAAGCAGTTTCGTTTACTACTGATCACACGATTAATCGATCGATCGAAGAATCAAACTGATCTATACATTATATTATATACCTTGCTAACGATTGTCTCGCTTGTCGAACGTTCAACGATTAACAAGTGACGATTTAAACGATTGTTCCGTATTTTTTAATTAACAGCTGCCTTGATTAACAGATTCAACGATTTACACATAGATACTATTATATTACTATTATAGTACTTTGGTAATAGTTCGTTACGCCTATGATTATCGAACGATCGAAGACGACACGTAACAGGCAAAGCAGCTATTAATCGTTCATCGTTGGAACAAAAACAAGATCGATTCTCTCGTTTAATCGATCGATCATTCGGTCCAGTCGAGTTACAGTTGTTATCTTTTCTTTCTTTCTCTTATTTGGAAAGCAATATGGCGCTCGTTAACGTAATAGCAACCTATGAAACTTCGAGACAACGAAGAGGAGTCGCCAATTGCCTTTGATCGCTCGAAGCGCGGGCACCACCACCGCACGAAGGTTCGTCAACGTTCGTCAACGTTAGAAGGCATAGAATTGTATTTACTTTATTATACTTCTTCTTATTTTTTTTTCTTATTTTTTTTTCTTTTCTATTTTTTTTTCTCCCTTCGTTTATAATTTGTTGAATTTATCTCCGACAATCGTTAAATATTACCGCACGCGGTAGTATCAAAATAAACCACACCGAGTATATAGTATAGAATATTCGTAAGTGTATGTATGTACAGTAGAGTTTCTATATAATTTATATATTTATGTGTTTTATATTATTATTCTTTTTCTCCTCACTTCTCATCCATACAGTCCCACACTTGTCCTTGTTTTATGTTTTTTTCATTTTATTTTTATCAAAAAATCGCATTACTATCTTTTTTTTTCTATTTTTGCTTCTCTATTTACCGTGTCTCTTTATTCTTTGTTCTTGTTCTCGTCTCGCTATTTCTCTCTCTCTCTCTCTCTCTCTCTGACGTTCGCCTTGTTGCATTTTTCATTGCATTTTTTTTTTTCCTCTTTCTTTCTCTCCCCTCTCTTTTATGTAGGAAATACACTACGATTAAAGTATATCACAGATGTTAATGAGAAGAACGTTCTAGAACGCGAGAAAGAAACGAAGAGAAGGAAACGAAGAGAATATTTCACTCATCGTCAGTCGCCGCAGGATTATCCGGAAGTACACGGCAGCTGGTATCTGCATAGCTTTCCACGTGAACCCGTCGAAGTGATACCAATTGACATAGAGATTACATAAATTGTACGAGTTTCAATTTGTATTAAAGATTATCACAACGTCGGAGTTAGTCTTAAATTTCTAATCGTACTTTATCTCGAACTCCGAGCTAATCGTCGAGTGTTTTTTTTTCTTTTTTTTTCTTTTATATAGAGTTAGCTTGAAAGAGGTGACAAAAATACCATTATAATCGATTATGCTATAAACTGGCTGTTTATTATTTTAGCCAATCGTAACAATATTTGTTCGACCTTATTTTTCTCCTTTCACCACACACTACGTTGGTTCTGAGGATATTTTTTATTATGAAGCTCTTAACTAGTATTGATACACGATTTTCCTTTTTTTTTTCTTTTTTGTAATTTTTCTTTATTTCCGCAGCTAAAATCTCCGTCTCGCGATCACGAAAAGACTATGCTACTTTTTATTTCTGTTTCTTCTTTTATATTCCGAAACTGTTTTTTTCTTTTTTTTTTTATCTAGATTTTCTGGCACTTCGGTAATGACCATTTTTATTATTATTATTTTTTTTTTTTCCTTTATTATTTTGCGCATCTTTGATTTGGCACGTTTCGTTCCTCTCGTCGAGAGCTACCCACGACCTACCGTGGCTCTCGAAACTCTCCTGCGAACGACACACGTTTATTTTTATTCGACGAGTTGGAGAAAAAGGAAAGGCGAGAAAGTGTGGTCCGATTAATTGCAATTGTCGCGTAGACTCGACAAATTTGTTTTTTCTTCTTTTTTTTCTTTTTTCTTTTTTTTTTTTTCTTGTTCTCAAGTTCACCTAACGACTACGTAAATTTCTCTAATTATCGACGCAGAAACTACGTCGTTCTTCATCCTACCAATTCCTACGAATTCGACTTCCACGATGTATTTTTTTCACGGAACATAAGATCGGTTCCGTTGGCAATAATAGATTGTCATAGGTTTTTCATTTCTTTTTTTTTCTTTATTTTTTTTTCTTCTTTTTCTTTTTAACTGATTTCGCTTTTCGTTTTACGCACATTAAATTTCACGATTGACGCACACGCGCAATCTCTCTCATTCACGTTTTCTTTTCCTTCCTTTTCATTCCGCGCGTTTAATAACGCACAACTGACAACTAACCTTATTTGTCCATGATCGATTATTCAATCGTACTTTTTTAATTATTATTATATACTCTTCGCTTTCATCTCACTCGCTCTCCCTTCTCTCTTTCCCTATCCCTCCACTTTCTAGCATTTCCAACTCGGCCTAAACGCTCGGTTCCTTTCCTATTTTGGCAAGTTCACGGCGGCAAAGTGACTAGAATATAACGACTATATTGTCATGCACTACAGTCTTTCTTAGAGCCCAACATTGAACCCTCGCAGCACTCTCCATGGTACTTCGCCGTTCGATACCATGGTTGGCTAGCGGTTGCAATAGAAATCTATACCATTTTTCTCGGTAGAACCGATTACTTTTTTCTTTTTTTTTTTTTTTGTTTTTGTTACTTTTTTCTAAACGCATCGAAGATAGGAGTCGTTACTTAAGAAGGATCCGATGGGCCACCAGAGGACGCCCCATCGAATCTTTTTCCCGTTTCCTCTATCGTCACATCTGGTAGCGCGGTCACCGACGAAATGGTCGTCGACGCTTCCGGTGTCCCCTCGCTCGGCTTCCTTCTCTGATGGTTGTTACTGCTCGCTGAATCGGTATCGTCCACGTATATACGAACGTCCGAGCCAATGGTGGCGCATACCCCTTCCGTTACATGCACCACAGCGCTTCCGTTCCTGCTTCCACTCACGCTACCGTTCACAGTTCCACTTCCAGTCACACTTCCACTTCCACTCCCGCTCGCGCTGCTGCTCCCCATGATGCTGTCGCTCATGTTGCCGGTCGACATAGGTGACACTTCCTCGGAACGTTCCTCAGCCACGTAGACATGAGCATAATTTCCCGCTCGAGTTGACGAGGGGGGGTATTGATCACCGACGATACTCGTTGCTCCCGTCGAATTTCCGCTCTTCAGTTTGGACGGTCTCCTTTCGTTAATGATCGACTGCACGTCAAGATCGTCCTTGGGTGGAGCGGATACCCGTCTCTCGTTCTTCCCCTTCGAGTCGTTCGATCTGCCGCCATTGCTTCTCGACGCGCCTGTTTCCATGCATCCGTTCATTGCGTTCCCCGTTTTTGAGGCGATGTTTCCGATGCTGACGTTCGTATCGGATTGTGACTGCGTGTCGCTCGATGGCCTGCGACTCAACGTCGCCTTGGACGGGTAGATATTGGGCGTTGGTATTAGATAACGTTCGCTGCTTATTTTAGGACAGGTTAGAGTTGTTATAGAACCGGCCAGCGACACAGGGGAAGAAGAGCTCGCTGGCGGTTTACTCACGCTCAACAGAGACTTGTTTTCTTGTCCATGGTCGCTGATTGCCTGTGGAGTCAGGTTATCTATTATAATATTGTATTCATGAGAAGATGGAAACAAAAAATTATGAGTATTACTGTTCCATTGTTATCGATATCTCTATCTACTTTGCGTTACACGTATTTTTATAATTGATTAGCAAAAAAGGCACATCTATAATCGAATCATTTGACAAAGAAAATAAATAAACATATGGGATATAACTGAAACAAAACGTGATGATGGCGTCAAAATATTAAACTTATTATTTCATAGGTAAAATGAATTAATTATTGATAAAATGTATCATCATAGTTTACAAGAATTCTATATCAACGGGCTAAGATTAACAGTTCAGATAGAATAAAAATCTACTTATTTCTTCTCTGCCTTCTTCTTGTGAAAAAATAGTATATGTTACATCAAATAACTATGAAAATTTTGTCATTTTTAGAAAAGAAAAATGCAAGAAATATAAAAAATAAATTTGTATTCATTTAATCATTTGTTATTATGTTTAAAAGGGGGGAAATTATGAATATTGAATATATAAAAATTATGATTTCAGGAAATTAAAAACTTTCCTTTTATACTTTTTACTTTTATTTGTAAAAATGATTGTCTAAATTTAACAAAAATTATATATATTTATATATAATAATTTGAAAAGAGAAATTTTAGAAAAATTAAGTAAAAAATTTTCACTTATAAATCTATGTATTCTCTCCATTATAATTAAATAATATATATAAATGATTTTAGCAACAAATATAATTCATATATCCAATTTTAAATCTCAATAATCATTTCTATTTATTTTTAAAATGATGTTATATAGATTTCATAAATGATTTTATATTTTATTATACATTTTTCTATTATAAAAAGGAAAATAAAATCTTTTAAAAGTTATTATAGTAGTTTCAAGTAGAAAGTTTTCAGATGTTACATTTATTTAATTTAAATAATTTAATTTAAATAAAATTTTTAAATTAATCCTTATATATTTCAATGGCACTTTGTATATTTATATAATATATATAATATATATAATATATACATATATATATATAGAATGATTAAATGAACTATGATTCTAGAAATTAAAATATATAATTAAAATATATATATGAACTCAAATGTTAGTATGAAAAAATATTTTTGAAAATTTATTTTTCAAATATTATATAAATTATAAGCAATTTAATTTTATATCAAATGAAATATCTTTGTTTCATATATATCTAAATATAAATATACATTAATTATAAAATTTTGATCCGTGTAATTTTTATTAAATGGGCACACAATTATATATAATTGTTTAAGTAAGTAACATATTTATATTTTATTTTTTATGATTAATATAACTTAATATACATAAATATTGTTACAAGCATTGAACTGTGAAAAATCTGTTTGTGAAAAATCTTTACGTAGAAAGCGAAAGAAAACAGCTTCATTTTGCTGAGTTTCGAAAACGACTCTATTAAATCTTAACAATCAACTATTTTGTTTTCTGTACTGCAATTCACATTGGCCATGATATTACAATGGTTATTAACACTTGTAACATATATCATAGATAGTAATTCCGTTTCGTTTCTATTGTAAAATTTAAATGCTTATAATTTAAAAAATAAACTTCAACAATTTTATATTCTTAAATGTTTTTCGTTTAAATACTCTTTTTGTATCTCTGTATTTTCTGCACATTTAAATTTTTCAAACAATTATATTGATTATTAATGATAAAAATTATTTTTCCTTAAGCAAATAAAAAAATTAGTAAACTTGTTCAAAACTAAACATATATTGTAATTTATTTTTAATTTAATTAAAAATAATTTTACCTGTAACCTTTGACGCTGCACGTGGCTGACATCTCGACTTGCTGCACCATAGCTGTGTTGAGGGATGATTCGAGGCACACTTAAATTGCTCACAGGCTTCTCGAAAACTTCGGCGACTTCAAAATGCATCGGCAGTAAGGATCTCCTCTGATGATGCCCCGAGTGAAACGTTTGTCTACGTTTCGATTTGAACTTGGACGGCCTTGAACTAGAACGATGATACGAACTGCGTCGCGATAATGACACTGATATCGTTCCATCTGTAAAATAGATATGATAGTTTTTAAATATTTGTAAAAAGAGTCATTAATAATTATGAATATTTCGAATAATAACTCGTAAGTTATTCACTATATAAAAAATTTGATGTAGAAAGAAATATAATTTGTTATTAATTTTTTTGTAAAAAAACAGATACGTATGAAGATTAATTTTAATTGAAAAATTATATATTTTTTAATATAATAATATTAAAATGTAAAATTATAAATGAAATTAATTATTAATGTTGACTTAAAAAAGATACATAGATTTATATAAATAAATACAGATAAATTTTTAAATAAAATGAATTATAATATTTTAATTAGATGTTATTTAATTAGGTATTTATTTTATTTTTAAATATTGTCTATTATAAATTAAAATCTAATCTAAATTAATATTTAATAATATTGGAAAATAATATTTAAATAATAATAATTTAATATGTAATATGTAATATCAAATAATTTATAACATAAAATAATTTTATAAAGTTACACAAAATATGAATAATTGTATTAAAAGCTCAATAATTTAAATTTAAAAATCATAAATCAATAAGATTTAATAATATCTAATATTATTTATATAATATTAAATATAATATATAATATTTTTATAATATTAAAAAAAAGTATTATAATATTTCGAAATTTGATTATATATTTAATTTCAAACGATTAATTTATTGAACAAACACAAATTTAAGAACCATATACTAATAAAATATATTTTTATGACATTTCATTATATTTCATTTATAAATATTGTTTATTTATTACTATAAAATTAAAAAAATTTTTTTCAGTAAATATAATAATTTATCTTGATCAGATTTTTTATAACTATAAACTAATATTGAATCGTTGAATATGTGAATGTAAACATACCGTCTGCACTTTTCTCCCGTGGCGGATTGTAAATAAAATTTGCAGGCAAGGAACGAACTTTCGCGAGACCAGGTCTGCTAGCAGGAATCTTTTCATTCGTCACTAAAATAGACTCGCGTTCTCTAACGTCGTCATCTTCGTCCATGTCACCGTCGTCTCTTTCTCGTTTTATAGTTTCATCGTCTTCCTCCTCTTCTTCTACTTCCAATAATTCTTCTTGCTCTGCGGCCAATTCTCTTTCTAGCTGTGTTTCCATATCCAACTCGTCTTCCATCTAATAAATAAATTCAAAATCAGTATTTTATAAATTTTTTTATACTTTAATACTTACTACTGTTTCATTTTTCTAAACTATCATGCGTAAAACATTATTTATTATTTGAAACGATATGGGAAAATATTTATAATAATAAAATTTGTATAATTATAAATAATATAACATAAAAATAATAATTTATTTGGAATAGATGCATATAAAAAGATTTAAAATCAATTTTAAATTTTTAGTGAAATCTTTTATAGTAGAATTCGATAAATTTGCAAATTTTAACGTTTGAAAGTATTTATATATGATAAGTTACGTTAATTTTAAAATTTTCTGTTTTGAAATATTAAAACTTTGAATTGGAAGTCTTTTTATTTATGCAAATCCAATTAAAATTTAATATTTTGATCGTGAATAAGTGATTTTATGTGAATACTTGTATTAATTTCGAATCATTATTAAATGAATATTATTGATTTAAAAAGCAAATTAAGTATTCTTGCCTGTTTGTGACTCTCCTCGAGATGTTTCATGAGTACAGCGACGACGACGTTAACAAGAACGAATTGTGCCATCAGCACGAAAATTACAAAAAATATCGGGGCTATGATGGTGCTCACGCAACAATTCTTCACGCAGTCCGCTGCTTCGTCACAATCGTCTCTCAGAGTGTCTTTCATGATACCGTTCCAATTGTCGCCAGTGGCCACTCGAAAAAGCGTCAAAAACGCCATACCAAAATTACTAAAATGGGCATGCTCTCCGAGACCCTGGCAAGGCATGTCGTCACTACATTCTGCAATAATAAATAACTAAGTAAATTAAAAATAAGTAAAATATTATTAATCAATTATATTATAAATCATTGAGTGTTCTAATTATTTTTAATTATTTTTAATCATTAAAAAATGATAATAAGATATGTATATTATAATAATTTAATAAAATATAATAAATATTCAATTATTTATAATTGTCTTCCACTTATTTAATAATTTATTTTTATACTTGAACAATGTAATTTTTTATATTAAATTCTTTTTGATAAATAATTATGTAAAGAAATCTAAAAAAATTATGCAGTTTTATTAATTAATGCATTATAATTATTTTTAATTATAATAGAAAATTAACATGTATATTTATTTTTCAAATAAATTAAGTCATAATTTTATTATGAATGTAAATTATTCAATGTATTAGATTAAGAAGAATTGATTAAAAATAATTATTTTCCGATAAAATAAATCTCTTTGGATCATTTCTTAATATATTGTACTTTTTTTAATTATAACCATAATAAGGATATATTTCATTTCAATTACATGGATTATATTTTAATGTTTACCTAAACGTCCAAACAATTCTACACCAAGAGCTGCGAAGATAAAAAAGAGCAAAAAAAACAATAGTCCCAAATTTCCAACTTGCGGTAATGCCTGCATTACCGTGTCTAAAAGAGCTCGTATTCCTTTTGCCATTTTGAGCAGCTTCAAAACTACAAATATAATAATTTAAAAAATTATTGCATTTTGACTAACTTATCAATATTTCTTAAATTTAATCTTTCCTTTTCTTCAAACTTTACCTCTGGCGATTCGTAAAACTCGCATGACTCGAATTATAGTAGGATTAATCGGAATGATCTTCGACTCAACTTCTTCAAGTACTATACCAACTACCGATAGTATCACGATTCCTACATCTAACTGATTCCATCTAGAATTAAATATTCATTATTAATATTTCACTTCATAATGTTAAGATAAGAAAAAAGAAAAAATTTTAAAAAATATCCCATACTTGTCTTTAAGGTAAAGATGTAAACCTAAGGCAAGAAGCTTCATAAAAGATTCAAGGATGAAGACCGCGGTAAAGAAATAATTAAATATCTTTAAAGCATAAGTCAGAGCTTTTGGCATCATGTAAAATTCCATTGCCATGGTAACAACATTCAGGCCGATTACCGCAGCAATTGCTAGGTCGAAATATTTAGACGTCACAACGTTATGTACGAACAGTCTCGATTTTGAATAATTTGTGTAATAAGGCGGTTCGTGCATTTCTGCAAATTGAATTAATATTAATAATTTCATTATGTATAATAATAATTTTTAATAATATTTTATAATATTTATGGTTACAATAATGTTTTTTTTTTTGTAATTTTTTTATTATTTCTTCATATTAATTCTTATTTCAATATCTAAAAGTCTTAATATTATTCAATTTCTGATTTTTGAATAATTGATAAAAAAATTTTTAATTTAGAATATAAATTGGTGGCAAAAACAAGTAACAGCAATCTAGAAAAAATTATTGAATCAGAAAATTTTTTAATAAAAAAATGAAAAATTTTATAAGTAATAAAAAAAATACAAAAGAATATCCGGCTATAAACAAAAGATTGATCAAAATAAAAAAGTTTATTTATTTTATTCTTTTACGTTTCTTTCTAGTATTCTATGTTTAATACTAAATATTATATGAATATGAAATAAATTAATTTCATTTTTTTCTATTTTATAATAAAAAAATTTTATTATATTATTTTTTCATTTCATTTTCATTAAATTATTTTATATACAAATTTATTATTTATTATTTTGAAAAAAAATTATAAGAATATATATATATATATCAATGTATATATATTTTTATTTTATTTCTATTAAAATAAAGTCAAGCAGTTTCTCTTTTTCTTACTTCGCCGTTTCTTCTCCATTTGTAAGGCTCGTTTAGCAGCCCTTCTTACGCGCTCTTCTTTTTCCTGTTCCTCACGACATCTGTGAAAATTTTCCACTACAACGCCTACAAACATGTTTAGGACGAAGAAGCCCACGAGTAGAATAAAAGCTATGAAATATAATAGCCGCCATTCCGAATAATTCTCGATTGGCTAAAATAGAGAAATAAAGGATATTTCAAATTTTAATATACTAAATGTATTATCATATTAAAAAGATATAATTTTAGATATCTAAATAAATTAAATTTAAAATACAATATTTATACATATAAATTTTTCAAATAAAAAAAAAATATATTGTAAATATTGACTAAGAGTACAATTCTCTGTATGAAAATAATAAATTTTTATATATAAAATTCATAAAATTTTTAACAAATATGAAAGCAAATTATAAGTAAATATTGATTAAAAATGTATTAAATAAAACAAAATGTATAGAAAAAATTTAATAATTTAATACATTTATTAATCAAATGTATATTTATTAATTATAGAATATTAAATATTCTATATAATATTATATAAATATTATATAAATATTATATAATATTTAATGTAAAATTTTCCGTATCTTTTATTTCGTTGGGTTTTATAAAATTAAAAATACTACATTTTTTTATATTAATAATATTATTATATATCTTTAAAAAAAATTTGTATGAAATAAAAAGTTACATAAAAAATATATATTTTTATTTTTTAGATTTGTTATTATACTAAAAAAGGTAAAATAATAATAAAATAGTATAAAAAATAACTATTCTCGTATCATTAAATTTTTTTTAAACAAACATAATTTACATTTATTAATACGAATAAATGTATTATTTAATTATTTCTCTAAATAAATATAAGATATGATTAATAATACGAAATATCATTTTAAAAAAGAAAAAAGATCTTCTATCAAAAAATAAATGATCCTCCTTTATATGCGTATTAATCAAGTGGTAACATAATATGCAAATAAAATTGGCGCATTCGACCATGTTACCTGTTGATCGACGCCTACAGCATCCAATCCAGTGTACATGATGTTCACCCATCCATCTCTCGAGGAGAGTACAAACAACGACATCAGCGCTTTTCCAAGATCGTCGAAATTGTATTTTCTATTTAACCAAACGTTCCGTTTGTCGGCCAGGCAGTCCGTCTTATTGCGTACATTTTTAATATCAGGCCCCTCACAGTAATAAAAGGCACCCTTGAAGAGCTGCACGCCCAAGATACCGAAGATTACGAAAAAAGTACAGCATATCAAAACGATATTGCCGATAGGTCGTAAAGAAGATAACAATGTCTGAACAACCAGTTTCAAACCAGGAGCTCGATTAATAACCCGTAATGGTCTTAGTGACCTTAAAAGTCTAAAAACCTGTAAAGATATGGACTAAGTATTATAAGTTTAATTATATTAATATTAATCAATATTAATTTTCATTTGAAAAAGATTTTTTTTCGAATAATATGTTGTAGTTTTAAATAATTATGTTCGACGAACAATATTATCTTGTTAGATAATCAAACACAGTAATATTAAAAAATTTTAAATATTAAATAAAAAATATAAATTGCAGATTAACAATACTAAATATATTTGATAAAAAAATGTTTGTTTATAATTGATAAATTTCTTATAACTTTTGCAGAACAATTTACAAATAAAAAATAGTTACAATTTATGAATCAAAATATCATCATTCGTTATAATGTGTAATATATTATTATAATATATTATAATGTGTAAATTTATATTTACAATTTGTTACAAATATTAATTAATTGTTTATTAATAATTAATAATAAAAAAATTATATATAAATATAATATTAAAATATTAAAAGTGTATGTTGTCAATTATTGACTTATATATATATATATATATATTTATTTATTGATTATTAACTTGATATAAAGTATGACGTATATAGCACATCACTGTAAAGTTGAGATATATATATGACGTGCCTCAAACGTCATTCAACATTAAAAGGTTAACTATTTATATTCGTTTTATGAAAAAAATTTATTTCAATATCCAAATGATAATAAATTGTCTTTGTTTTAATTATTCTATTTCTTAAAAATAAATTTCTAACAAACTTCTAACAAATAATATTTATCCTTTGTCAAAATATTAATTTCGGTTTAATTCAGTTTGCACGAGTATAATAATAATAGAACAAATTGATGCTTTAACATATTATAGTTTTTAAAAAAATTAAAAGAATACAATTAAAAAAAAAATAAAATAAAAAAATTTAAAAAATGTAATTGTAACAAATAAATCTATATTACAATCATTTATTTTATTAGAATAGAACATTAAAATTCTAATTTATATAATTTTTATAAATTCTATTCATTCTATTAAAATAAAGCATTGAATTTATCTTTGTAAATATTTTTTATACAATATTATGATAAAAAAACCACAAAATTCAAATTACATTAAAATTATAAAAAATAGGAAACATACCCTCAATATTCCAAATATTCTTGGACTACTCGACGACAGTAAGGACATTGATAAGTCGATTATAGAAATGATTACGAGAACTCCGTCCATAATATTCCAACCTGAAGTAAAATAAGCGTCGGAGCCGTACAACATACCAGATGCAACAACCTACGAATTATAATCTTCTTAGTCAAAGTTATATTCGTTTAATATTTATCAAACTTTCATTTCACCTTGATAAACATTTCAACAGCAAACACCGCGGTAAAAATATAATTCGCAGTTGATAAAAAAAGTCTTTCTCCACTATCAGGTGGTATATTTGGTCGTTCCATTGCCAATGTAATACAATTAAGACCGATAAAAAAAAGTACCACGTTATCAAACCATCTTTGATCGACCAATAATCGACATAAAACACGAAATCTGAAAAATGTAAATATTTATTATTAATTATACAATTATATATACGCTATATTTTTTATTGAATTTAATATTTTTAAATATTTATAATTAGTTATATATAATCATATAAACCATTCATATTTTATATTGAATGATATTGAAATTAATATTTATTAATTTTATTTTATTATTAATATTTATTAATAAATATTTATTAAATAATTAAATGAAATGTATTTGTTTTTCCTAAGATAAATCTGTTTTTGTTATTGATAATTGATAACAAAAAATTTTTCCATAAAATAGAAAGATCTTTGATTTTGAAAGAGTTAAAAACATTTTTGGAAATGATTAATTGACCAAGTTAAATTTATATTCTAAAAATTAAAACATGAATTTAATCAATATAATTAATATCGTATAAAAATTATATTAAAAATAATATTAAATAAGAATTTATAGACAGCATTTAAAGATTTTTAATTTTTATTTAAAAAAAGAATGTTAATATAATATCTTGTAAATAAAGAATTAAGAAATTCCTAAATATATTATTATAATACTTAATTCCTTTTTTTGTGTTTATATATTTAAAATGAATATTAAAAAATTTCACAATTTTTTTATTTAAAATTTTCTTATATACAATTTATTATTTTTAAAGGAATTTGATGTTATTCTGATATATTCTAATCACTAAATCTTATATTTTAATTACTATTTACAATTAATAAATATTAATAATTTTAAAATTATGACGTCGTTATGAAATTGTTTTGTATTTCCAGATTTAATATTTATCTTCAAAGAAGTAAAGAAAAATCATATTTTTTTTTACAAATAGAATAATATATATATATATATATATATATA